CCAGTTCTCCAGTTTGTCAGGATTGTTTTGAATTCTAATCTTGTCCTCCAAAGTGCTTGCAACCTCTCCCAATTTGGTGTCATCTGCAAATTTTAAAAGCCTATTCTCCGGTCCATTATTCAAGTCATTAATGAAAGATTGAATAGTTTTGGGCCCAGGACTCATCCCATGCAGGATACCCCCTCCCAAAACACTCCCTCCTAATTTAACAATGAACCATTGATAACTACAGGCCTGTACGCAGGGGGGTGAAAAGGATTAGAACACATCCCTTCATGGTTCCTCATGTAAATGTGCTCCAGCCAGCCAGGTAAAGGCAGAAGTCCTAACCTTCCTCCCCCATGCTCCAGCTGGCCAGGGGAAGGCTGGGGCTGATTACCACTCCCCACCCAGGAGCAAGGCCCAGCCCCACCCCCAGCCTTGCTCCTGGGAGAGGGGAGGAAAATTGGCCTCAGCCTTCCTCCGGGAGGGAGGCTTGGGCAGCACGCTGCTCCTGCCTTTCCCCAGCCGCATGGAACATGCTTCCTTGGGGGACTATGGCGGGGGGAATGTGTCCGCAACCTTGCAGTCCACATTTACAAAAAAAGCACAGACACCCCCACAGAAATTCCTGCATACGGGCCTGAGCTATTCACCAAGTATGATCTTTCAAGCAGTTTTGCAACTACCTTATAGTAATTTCATCTCAATCAGCAGTACAGACACAGAAAAAAAATGATGGCCCCAAATGAATCCCTGCTGTGCTGTTGGTTTCTGCACCAGTCATTTTGTGCTAGGAAAAGACCTGTACTATAATCGCAATATAGTAATTAGCAGCTCACCTTTAAGCTAATCAAGGCTAAGAATGTTATTATACAAGTTTAGAGATATTCATCGTTTGTAATAGTGATAATGACTTCTTGCCTTGACAGATGTTTCCCAATAGTCAGTGACTTCACAGTGGGCCCATCACTCCTATTATTCATAACAGACAGGTAATACCTGACGTGATCTAAATAATTTCCTCACTCACATTCTTCATCCTCTCCAGGGCTAAAATTGATAGGAAATAGAACAACTTGTTTACCACCTTGCTGCTGTTTCTTGCACTGGATAATCCATACTTCTACATCTGTCTATCTTTATAAAAAGAGAAATAATCTAGACTAGACCCACAAATTACTCAGGACTAGATCCACAAGCGAATGTAGGTGCCATCTACCAGTTAGGTGCTGAAATTCAAAATATACTCCCCCTAAAGCCCTGCTCAACTGCCACCTAGCACAGTTGGTGTCTACATTCTCTAGGTACCTAAGTTTCTACTATCAAAGACCAGCAGGCACCTAAATTTCTCTTTGTGAGCATAAGCAAAGATGCTTAAGTCCTAATGCCTCTTGGATAGTTCATACCTACGCCCAGTGAACTTCTCAAATTCCCCTGCTTCTCTTGTCTATGGGGCTTGTGTACCAGATTTGATCCTCTACAAAACATAGTTGGATCCCAAGCAGTTACAGCATGCATCCAGGGAGGTCTGGATTCAAGTCCCTGTTCCCTGCAGGGTAGACTTGAACCTAAGTCTCTCACCACATGGGTAAGCACTCAGAGCACTTGGTTATAGATACGGCCTACCAATTTCACAGCCATTAAAAATGTGTCATGCACCATAGATGCTGATCTTTTGTGTGTTTTGCTCTCTACTGTACAGATTGCATGGGGGAAATCAGCATTTCTTAAATTGTGGGTCCAGATCCAAAAGGGAATTGTGGGGAAGCCTCAAGATTATTTTAGGGGATAGCAGTATTGCCACCCTCACTTCTGCACTGCCTTCACAGCTGGGCAGCTGGAGGGTGGTAGCTGTTGGCCAGGTACCCAGCTCTGAAGGCAGCACAGAAGTGAGGATGGCAATACTGCAACCCACCAGCAGTGGTGCAGAAGTAAGAGTGTCAATGGCATGCCACACCCACCTTACTTCTGTGCTGCTGCCTTCAGAACTGGATGGCTGAAGAGTGGTGGCTGCTAATAAAGGGCCCAATTCTGAAGGCAGCAATGGTGCAGAAGTAAAGATGACAATACTATACCATGCCATCAATACTTCTGTACTGCTGCTGGCAGTGGCGCTGGCTTTAGAGCTGGGCTCTTGGCCAGCAGCTGCTGCCCTCCAGCTAAACAGCTCTGATGACAGGGCCACTGCCAGCAGTACAGAAATAAGGGCAGCAGAAACACAATTATCACCCTCCTGCACTCACACACACATAAACAAAAAATTTGCAAACACTCATCACCTTCTTGTTGGGTCAAGATCCCTACAATTACAACACTGTGAAATTTCAGATTTAAATATCTGAAATAATCAAATTTGCAATTTAAAAAATCCTATGACCATGAAATTGACCAAAATAGACTGTGAATTTAGTAGGGCCCTAGTTATAGAGGGAGGGGGAACTACCACTTCCTCAGAGTTTTGTGAGAAAGGACTAAGCTAACTTCAGGACAAGGATCATGGTTGTGAATCCCAAATGGAGAGGCCAGAATCAGGTGCCTAAGTCCTTTTGTAGGGTATGCTTTAAGCCCCATCCCTTATGCTGGCATTTCCTACTGGCTAGTTTGCACAGCGCCCTGCTCAGTTTTCTGGCTTTGTGAATCACATTCCAGGTGCCTTTCTCTATGTATTATATAGGCAGCCTATGCAAATGTCAGGCTGTGGATCCCACTAGACAGCAGGGCACTTAAAAGGAGGAACTGCAGTGAAAAAGTTAAAATACATCAGTTTTTTAATCTATATGGGATCATCCCTTTTCCCAAGCACAGCCCTGACTCAGTGAACACAGGGTGGAAAGAAGAGGAAGACATACAGATGCCCAACTCCTGCTTTCCTTGAAAATCTTTTTTAAAATCTACTTTTTCTGTAATAACTTTCCAGGTCTGAGGCCAGAGACAGCAAGGTGCTGAGCAACTTCAGCTCCCAGAGAAGTTAAGGCGGGGGAGGAAGGAGTTCAGCACTTTGCAGGGTTCAGGCCCTTTATTACAACATGCACTGGATCCTGTACCTTTAGGTTGTCAGCTTTTTGGCCAGGAACCTGTTATTTGTTCAGTACAAATCACTTGGGGTAAGTCTACACAGCAACAAAAATAACAGGTTTTATTTCAAAATACCTTAGTCCGTGTCTACACAGCAGGCAGTTATTTTGAAATAATGTCAAAATATTATCAAGCTGGAGGATTTCTTACTTTGACTCCTATAACCCTCATTGTACGAGGAGTAAGATAAGTCAGAAGAAGAGTGCTCATTTCGAAATAAGTGCTGTGTAGACACTCCCAATTTCAAAATAAGCTATGCAATTAACATAGCTCAATTTGCGTAGCTTATTTCAAGTTAAGCCCTGCTGGGTAGACAAACTCTCACATGAACAACGTGTAGCTGTTTTGTTTATGATATGTTAGAAGGCAACTATCGAGCTTTTCTAAGACAGAGTTTTGAAAATATTGTTTTAAAAAACACTTGATGCTTATTAATTACCATGAAATTATGTATATAACCTGATAACCCTTTACAAAGAGATACAAATTGAAGATCTCTGTCTTCATGAATTTACAATGTTAGGCTCCAGGCCCCGTACATGAGTAACTTTACTTATGCAAGTAGTCCTACCATCCTACAGTCAATTACCATGAAATTATTCACCTGCAGGAGCAGATTAAGGCATATTAAAGCATTATAAGCCAAACCCCTGGAGTCATGGTATTACATCAGACTCTAACCCTTCATTTAAACAAATATCAAATTTCAGGGTTACCAAGAAAAGCCTGAGAATGTGAACCAAGTATAACCAAATCAGAGACAACTCTTTGAGTGTGAAGACAACCTGAAACAATAGTTATAAGTGGGGGGAACCACAACATAATGAATGGGGTGTCAACTCCATAACCTCCTGCTCTGGAGGACCCTGCCAAAGAGAACTTTGTGTAGCAAGAAAAGAATGCAGTGGTCCTGACCCACCTAAGCATATACATCCTAGCAGGTGGGATTGAGTACTGCAAACCTCTTTTGCCACCTGTACCTGTCTTCCATGTGACAGAGAGCCCACAGTGATTATGAAAGGGAGGGGTCCTGAACTGTCATTCCTAGCAAGAAAGTTTGCTACCCTTCTTTTGCTGGGAGAGAACTACCTCCTTACCCCCATCAGTGCCACTGTAAGTGAAAGTTAGAATCACCAAATGCAAGGGTAGGGCCATGAGGGCAGAGCTATGGGAGCCTAGGGCATCTAATTACCATTACTCACCTCTGTTCTCTTGCATAGTTAATGGTGCAAATAAGGCCTGAGCTTCAGGCACATTTCCTACAGATGTATCTGTTGGTTAGGGGTATGCCCATGTCCTGATGTAGTTACACCAGCACAAACCCTAGAGCAGAGGCAGTTGTACCAGTCTGAGTGGGAATAGCAACTCGGGGGTGCGTCTGATTAAGCTAACACCATACTAAGAAGGCTGAACCACTGTAACTATTGACATAACCAGGTACAATTTTTGTGGGTTGACAAGGGTTAATTAAGCCTTGGCAGTGGCAGGAGGCTTTTCCCCTGTAGGGCCCCTGACACGCAATTAACAGTTGCAAGCTGAACTTTAAAAAGCAACAGTCTGGTAGCACTTTAAAGACTTAACACACCATGTCGATGGTATCACGAGCCCTGGGTTCAGCACTAGGCTGCAGGACCAGCTACAGGTCACAGCCTGCCCCTAGGGGGCTGCAGGTAAGGCCTGGCTCTGCCCGTAGGCGGCTGCGCTGGGCAGGAGGAGAGCGGGCTGCAGCCGGCCAAGGCGCTGGCCAATAGGCGGCCCCCCTGCTGCGGCGCGGTGCGGGCACACGCAATAAGGCTCCGAAGGGAGCGCCCCCACTCCCGCGCCAGCGCGCTGACTCAGACGGGGAGGGATGTCTCAGCCTCACGGGGCGGGGCTTAGGCCGTGGGGCCGGGCTTGCTCGCGCAGCGCCACCTCTGGGCCGCGGGGCAAGCAGCAGCCTCCGCCGCAGCAGCAGCAGCTGTTCGCTCGGGTGTCACATGTCGGAAAGTCCCTGGCGCTGGGGGTGGAAATCCCCGGCGCGGGCTGGGGCTTTTTTCCCTCGGCTTAGTAAAATAGAAAGGAAAAAAAACAACAGCCCTTGACTCCAGTTTATAGCCAGCGCAGCAGCAGCAGCAGCAGCAGCAGCGGGGAGGGAGGGGGCGGCCGAGGGAAGCCCAGCCAGGCGCTGTGAAGGAGCCAGATTCTCCTGCAACCCAGTCGGGTCGGGCATTCATGGCTGCCCAGCTTAGCGCTGCCCTCGCCTGTGTGCACTGATCTTGAGAAGGATTGTATCCGCCGCGCTGCGCTCTTGGAGGAGCCCTTCTGCAGAAAGGTACCGCGCTTTGTGCTGCTTGTGGCAGTCGCTCCGTGGTGGGGCACCGAGGAGTCCTGGGGGTGGTCTGGACCATGCCCTGGCGAGCATTTCTGCCTTGCTTCTGTGGGTGAGCGTGTGTATTTATTGCAAAGGGCCGGTTGGTAACGAAGGCTCCGGTGGTGGCAGCGGGAGGTTTGCTAATGGATCTGTGTTTGACTACCCCTCCCCCCGATCCTCTTGTGTGTTCTTCCCTTTAAAAACTTGGCTGGCGATCCCAGAACGTACATACGGGGAGGAAAGAAGGTTTGGAGAGTAGACAGAGGAAAGGGCAGGCAAGGATGTAGCGAGGCAGTGACACCCAGCTGTGGTAGTGTAAGTTACATAATTATTGATGACAGCTCGTGTAGGCAGTTATGCAAGAGCTATTGTTCTGATTGTTTGGGGGGGGGGTTAAACGTAGCTTGTATACTGTAATCTATTTGGTGGGTTGGGGGCTACTAACGTTCCATGAGAAGTGGATTTGCTATTATTGTCTTAGCTACACTAACAGGTTAGTTCCAATTTCCCACCATTATAACCCCACTAATGCAGCTCCACTGTTGGAGTATTAGTGTAAGCAGGTTGCTTCTGGTTTTTTGGGCCTACACTGAGTACAGTTCAACAGTAGACTAGCTAAACCACCAATAGGTTGTCTACATTAGTAGTCCCACCATTGCTAAGTTGCAGCAGTGAGACATTTTGAAGAAAAACAACCTGCATGTACACCTCAAATCGCCCAGTAGGGGGTAGAGAGCTGGACTGCAAACTCAGAGCCATGGTGTCTGTGTTCTTGTCAAATCTTACAGTAGCACTATGCTTAAACCTATGCTTAAACCTTCTATTTGTGATTTTTTTTTTACAAATAGCCTCATTATTAGTAGTTCCTGATTTCTTTTTCTAGTAAGAATCTGTCTTTAGTTACAGAGAGCATTAATATATAATACTTTGCACTTATGTAACGTGTTCCATCTGAGCATCTAGGATGAAAGTTCCTAAACAAATATGAATTTATACAATGCTTTATCAATACCAATGACTCAAACGTCCTATCACACTTGATAGAACTAGGTAGAAAACTGGCAAGGCAGTATAACTGAACACAATATAAATAGGAATTCTGCATGAAAAGAGGAGCATAACTGGTATACCCTTTACTTGTACCCTTTTGGTTAAGTATTTTTTCCTTATTCCACCACTTGCTGTAAAGCATATTGTGATGCTTTATGAAGGTGATATATTTGAACTGTATTTAAATGGTGACCATCTGGGGAATTTGGATAAATAATAAAAATCAGTGCTATAGTAGTTATCATTCAGAGATGTTACTTTTGGGGTTTATACACTTATTAAAAACCTTTTAGGTAATGAAGTTATTGACCAACCCATTTTGTTTTGACCTGATGTCCTACATCCTGCCACCTACTGGCCTTATTCTGGTTTCTCTGGTGTACTGAAAAGCCAAGATATTATATATTTCTATTAGGTTTACAAATACTGCTCATACTTGACAACATTCCTTGAAACAATGTCCCTTCAATATATAAAGTGAATTGCATAACCACCCATTTGTTTCTTTCACACTCAAGACAATCACAGTACCAACAAGCCAGATCCGGCTAGATGATGATGTATGAATGTTACAGACCCTCATCTCCCATTCTTTTAAAATAGTTATTTGTAAAATGTTGACAATGTGCCATGACCTGTACAAAGTCCACGCAAAGACCATCTCTGCCCCACTGACATCAGTGGAACTTGAGGGTACTAAGTTTGTGGCAAGATTGCCCTAGTAATGTCCAGCTCTTAAATAGCACTTTTCATCTGTAAATCTCAAAGTGCTTTGGTTGATAGCATTATCCTATTTCCATTTTACATAAGAGAAAAACGAGGCACAGAGCAATGAAGTGACTGGCCAAAGGTCACTCAGCAGGCCATGCTAGAGACAGAAGTAGATCTTTGGAATCCCATCCAGTGCTCTGTGAACACTACATAAATATGAAAAGGATTATTGAATATGAAGGCTGAATTTAAAATAATTTTGTTTGATCTTTTTCAAATGACTGGGATCTATTTTTAAAAACAATTATTTTTAACACCTCCTGAATGTTTTATGCTTTGTTTTATTTTATCTTATCCAGTTGTAAACAGCTTTTTGGTTTGTTTTTTAAAAAATGTACTATTTTTAAGCATGATTTTTAAAAGCACAGTTAAATTGATAACTAATAATCAAAATGGCTCAGATTTTCACATATAAGGGTAAGAATGTAGTTGGAATAAAAGAGAGGCAGAAATCTAGTGCTGAATAACTTATAAATTGAATTCACCTTTTTTAATGCTAAACAAATTGCTGTCTTCATTGTTACTTAATAGTGGAAAGATCCATTTCCAGGGCACAAGCTTGCAATACATAATCAGATGAGGAGTCCTTATTCATGAAAAAATTCCATGACTCAATGAGTCTGCTTGTGTATATAAGAGTTTGATGGATCAGGGATTGGAAGTTGCTGAAGAAGATAAAGGACATGACACTTTTATATTCTGGTTATTTTGTCCCGCATTCTTAATTTTAAAAATTAGTATGATGTGGAAAATATGTGCCATTTCCTTTGGACAAGGGGAAATAGACAAGATAGGAAATGAGTTAGTTAACTTTGTAATGAATATATACTTATAAAAACATTCAGTTAACTCCCCAGTTGAGCAGAAATGGGGTACACATTTTTTTTTCATCATGAGACACCCCATTGCTTCCGATCAATACTCCATAGAAATTCAGCTAAGTGTGCCTACTGAGATCTTCTGCCAGAGATTCTTGGGAGGGAATGTACAAAGCAGCTCTAGGCAGAGCAGTTTGGTGTAATAACTACTAGGCAGTTCCTTTCTGTAGCTATTGACCAGCCACAGGGGAACTTTCACAATGGCAGCTACCAGAACCAGGGAGATGTAGAGGGAAGCCCATATAACTATGTGGAGGAACAGATTACCATGCAGGATATCTCCTGCGTGGCAGATGAGGCTTTCCCTTCCTGGTGTATCTGTGAGATTGTAATTCCTTTTCTCCTGCTTGCTCCATGGCTCTCCAGGCTCTTATCACTAGAGAGGACAGTTTCCTAAAAGATGTGAGGTTTAGCTTTCATTTGCCTCTAGCCTTTCTCTGTTTGGCCCCAAATTAGAAATCACAATATAGGTGTCATATTCTTTTAAGACATTTGATGAGGAAAAGACTTGTGGAGTTCTCAAGTGCTAGAAATGTAAGGTTTATATACATTTACTTTTCTAAAAAAATGCTTTTAAAAAACATTAAGTTGGGTTGAGCACTGAGAACCAATGAAAGTACATGTGTGCAGATGTACTCTGTGTTTACACTTGGTTCTAGTCAGACACAGTGCAAAGACCTGATTTGCCTAGAACAAGTGTGAGGCTTGGAATGCCATTCATAGCTATGAATTTATGTTCTCCAGTGTGACTGGAGGTGAGGAAAGGAGCAAATAGCATTTGACATTACGTGTTGCACATCGGAAAAATATTGGGAGTTTTGAGCAAAGTGGAAATGCTTCTTCAGCTCTCTTGATTTACCCTTGAGTAATAATGGGTCTGATTCCGTACCTTCCCACCCCCATGCACACATGCATATGCTTCTGCAATAATCCTACCATTAACATAACCTAAGGAATGTTCCTATTATGTAGGTGTCTGATTTAATACCAGGTGCCTATCATGCTACAAATGTTTCATTTGTCATTAGGTTAATTTTAAATCTCATATGAAATCTTAAGCCTGGGCTGGGAGCTAACTTTGCATGTAGCTATTGTAGCTAAGTGTTTTAAATATTGCACTACATGTCACATTGCTTTATGCATGTTCTGTCACTCATCTGTAAATCTGAAGCGATCGATCAATTTTCTCTGGCACGTGGTCAAATTGAAAGATAATGGTGCTTGTGACCCTTCAGCAGAGCTCACTGGAGATTACGCTGCTCAATTGTTGATTAGACAAAGCTCCCATGGTAATTTCCCCTCCTCTTGTTCTCCCCTCCCCTCCTCTTCACCCCACTTCCATTTAAACTTCTCCTTTTACAAGTGCTGTAATTTCATTAGTTCATTATGAATACTTGCTTCTCTTTAATAATAAAGAGAAGACAGAGTAAAGAGACTGGGATTAGTAGTTCAGGATCTATAGCAGAGTAATGCTAAGAGGTGGCTGGATTTCATATTATTTATATAGCGCTCACCATGGACTGTGTGGTTTACAGGCAGAGTTTCAGACAAGGTCTCTGCTCTAAAGAATTTGCAGTCTAAACCTCTGTACCAGCAAGAATCCTATAATATACATTGTGAGACTAAAAAGATTGTCTTTCTTTTTTCCTTCAGGTATCTTCTCAGAAATGGCTGTCCAACAAGTTCTTCCCCAAGCTTTGTATCTGAGCAATATGCTGAAAGCAGTGAAAATTAGAGAGAGGACTCCTGAGGATCTTGTCAAACCCACCAATGGAATAATTCATCACTTTAAAACAATGCACAGATACACAGTAGAAATGTTCAGAATGTGCCAGTTTTGTCCTCAGTTTCGGGAGACCCTTCAGAAAGCTTTAATTGACCGGCCCACCCAGATTTCACTGGAACATGAGAGGAAGCTGAACTGGTGCAGGGAAGTTAGGAAACTTGTACCATTAAAGACTAATGGTAAGTTGTGTATGTGTCACTACACTGGTATTAAGACAGGGTACTAAGGATCTAGCATATTGTATTAATAGGCTTGTTGTTTTAATTACTAAGATGAAAATATAGTTGTTTTATTAAAATAATGTCTATTTATTGTAGCAACACAAATTAACATCCTATTAGCACGACATGCCAAACCAATTATTAATCTTTAAGGATTTACAGTGTACATCAACAGGTTAAAAATTTCATGGAGGTTTGGTAATATCATAAATCTTTGGTATGGTAGAAGAATATGTTCTTACCTATGAGAACCTCAACTCTTACAATGCTAGTATTTTTCATGAAGCTTTCTAATATTCTGTAATATTAGTTAGTGTAGCATTATATATGATATGGCCCCTCGTTGTTGTTTGCATGATATACTCTGTTGCTTATGATTTTCTGCTATAACCGTAAGTACTGTACCAATTGGAACATCTTAGATTTACAGTTTTTAGCTCTCTGGCTGCAGTGTCAGCCCTTAATTAAGCTAATTAACGCTAGGTTGCTTTATGGGATAAGACAGCTTTCTTTCCCCGACCCCCCCAACCCCCACTGGATCTGCATAGTGCCTATTTTAATTAATGACAGTTACATACATGTTTCACAAGGTGCATAATTCCCCTTGATTTTAAATGAGAGTTAAAAAAAAAGTAGCATATGGCGCTGCTTTTAATATATTTTGTATTATTTCAGGGCCTTGGAGGTGATTTGAGAGAGGGACTTTATAAATGTGTGTCTTGTATATCCTGAAAAAAACAGTGCCAGTGTAGTATAACCTGGGCTAAAATGCAAAGATTTTGTGAGCAAGGGATGTATATTTAAATTTAATTAGCAGTGAGTTCTAATGGATATGAGAGTGTGAGCTGCAGAATATTGCATGTTCCCCATAACATATTTTTTTCATATGGGTACACATACACATTACTGAATCCTAGTTCACATTTCTTCTCACAATCTACAGTGTTCTGTAACTACTACTCTTACTACGTATAATTACATTTTACAAAGACTAATTTAATCATGAAAATAGAAGCATCACTTACTACTAACTAACAAGATTGATTAAACATAATATAGGTCTATAAGTCTGTAACAGTAATAGAAGACCTGATCCTGCAATGAACATAAATTGTCCTCTTTACTCGTTCCACCAACTTCCAAGAGCCTCTGCCTGGGGACCACAAATGTGGAACTCCTTGCAGGATTGACACCACATTTAGCTCTTTTTGCAGTACTTTGCAAGCACTAAATAAGTGACCTTCTCATGAGAGTTGTTTCACACAGTCTATTTCATACAGTGTAATTTTAGCCATGGTGGTCCCAGGATAGTAGAGACAATTAGATCCAATAAAAGTAATTACCTCACCCACAGTACAGGCAGTCCCCGGGTTATGTACAAGATAGGGACTGTAGGTTTGTTCTTAAGTTGAATTTGTATGTAAGTCGGAACTGGTACATATTGTAGGGGAAACTCTAGCCAAACATTTCTCCAGAGCTCAGTTTTATTCTCCCACACCTCACTTCCCTCAGTCCTTTATTCTCAAGCTGAGGTGTCTGCTGAGAAAATCTGCTCCGGGTCTCCCTGGTCTGCTGGGGGAAGCAGCTAGTGCGGGGTTGCCTCACCCCGTTTGGAAGTAGGGATCCGATGTAAGTCGGATCCATGTAACCCAGGGACTGCCTGTATATTGCAGTCAAACAGATTTATTAAGAAAATGTATAATCTAGTTGATTGCTCCTTAAAATGAATAAAAACATTTTAGACCCCAACCTATTGCCATTAATATCATAATGTGATGCACCATACTCTGAATACATTTTATTTGTGTCAGCACTAAGGAACATTATTTAAAATGGAAATAGTGTAATGGTTTCAGGTTGTGACATATTCCATCTGTCTATTTGTACATTAGATGCATTGCTCTGTTGTTAAAATTGATGATTTTTTAATTGTTTTTTAATTCAGTCCACTGCTCCCAAATCAATAGGGCTATGTCTACACTACAAGGTTTTTACACAAAAACAGCTGGTTTTGTGCAAAAATTGGCAGCGCATCCTCAAGCGCATTTTTGTGCACAAAAATTACAGTAAATCGACAGGACAGAGGACATTTGCTGGTAGAGTTATTCCTCTGCCCACAAGGAATAACTCCTTTTTGCGCTACAGCTCTTGCGCAAAAAGGCACGTATGGACTCTCCGCAGGGGTTTCTTGAGCAAAAAGAGCCTATCAGAAAAAGCACAGGTGCTCTGATGGCCATTCTATTAATGGCAGTCAGAGCTTTCTTGTGCAAGAGCGTCCATGCAGTGTGGACGCTCTCTTGCACAAAAGCACATTGCTTTTGCGATGCACTTTTGAGGTGTGGACATGCTTTTGCACAAGAAGTTTTTGCAGAAGATCTCTCCCACAAAAAGCTTCTTACGCAAAAATCATGCAGTGTAGACAAAGCCTAGGAGTTGTTGGTACTGCAAGGCATTGGTGAAGAAGAACTGCATCTCATTACCTTCTATGGTTTATGCAAAATACCGTATAAAAAGCCTGTTCAGGAGGAAGCAGATAAGCAGTGTGGGTTGGAGGGAAGGATTCTTCAAAATAGAAGTGGGGCTTTCAGGAACCCCTTAATCTCACTGGAAACAGTATTAAATCTCATCGAATGGAACACGTTTTTCACATGGCATAAAAATCCTTTTTAAAAGGCATTCATGTACTTACCATGAACAGAATTAAATTTTAGTCAAAAATGGATTTGCTGTTTAGAACGGCAGTTTTTTTGAAAGCTAAGGAAACAAATGCTGCATCTAGGATTTTGGTAATGTGAACTTTACCTAATATGTACAAAAGATTATATATCTGGGTGATTCACCATGTATGCACTGAGGATATGAGAATGGAGTAAATGAGGAAGGGAGTAGGAGGTATAAAAATTGAAACCATGTTTTTTAAAAAAATTCCAGTGTCTATTGGCTATAGAGATTTCACTTGTATAATGATTAGGCAGTCATTCCAGCTCAGCCTAACCACACCCACTTGGAAAGTCCAGTATGTACTTCATAGTTCAAATGTGTATACATGAGAACAAGAAGTACAATAGCTGTTGCTCAATTGCTAGTCAAATAACTTAACACTGGGGAATTCCAAATGTTGCATAGGGAATTTTGTACTGGTGGTTCTCAATAAAGAACTGAAAGTAAGTGCTAAAATAATTTTTAAAAAATCTTATCTTTGTTCTCAATTTTGCAAAGGGAAAATTTTAACAGAATGTACGAATTGTTTAATTTTTATGTCAAATTTCTTCTAGTTCAGGCAGAAGATTTTTCAGTTAATATTATGTATTTTTCCTTGATTCTGAGTTCAAAACGTATGGTCTCATTTTGAATGAGATTTTGGAAGAGGTGGTTAGGAAATCAGAAAATGAATTTCATCCTATTCAGAAGGACTGAAATTATGCAGCAAGTCTGTAACCAATTACAAGTATACAAAGGATTCATGGAATGTGCAAGATTTTGTGCAGGCATTATGCATGCCTTTGATTTTTTTTTCACCCAAATTAGGTGATCGAAATGTAGCAAACAGGCTTTTTTTGGGTGGAGGGAGGTGTTAAAGTTCCTAAAGTATGTAAAAACAAATACCTTTGAAAATAATCTGAAATAATTTCCTGTTGGTAGCTTCAGGTTTAAAAAAATAAATTACCACAACCACAAGTACAGACTCTTGATACATTTGTTACCTTCCTTGCAATGTTGAAGTGCAAGGAAATTAATGTGTTTCCATGTCCTTAGATTACTTAAATACCTCTAATGAACAGTGAATCTCAGGCTTAAATCCCAGAAGTGTCCAAGTATAGTTAGTTTCTTTGTGTCTTCCTTTCTGGATACCACTGGGGAGTAAGAAGTGGCATGTGATTAAAAGTATAGGATGGAGGACGGGGGAGGGGCTAACCAGTGGTTTTGTTCCCACCTCTTCACGTGCTCTCTGTGGTGATTTTGGGCAAATCACTTAATTGCCCAGAGCCTCAGCTTCCCCTTTCTCAAAAATGGAATAACACTTTCCTGAGTCTTGGTGAAGTTAGTCCAGCATTTCCCAAATAGTGCTCTGCGGAATCCCCAGGTTCTGCGAAGTGAAAATAAGGGTTCTGTGAAAACCCGATCGTTCTCCCCCACCCCCAAAGCCAGTCTTAGGGGCAGGTGAGCTGGATGGTTGCCCGGGGCCGCCATTTTTAAGGGGCTTTTTTTTCCTTGATAGTCTTCCTCTCTTTTTTTTTTTTTTTTTTTTTTTGGTTGACCAGTTTCTCTCCCCCTCTCCCCCCTTTTTTAAAGGTTCCTTGGCCAAATACAATTGGGAAACACTGCTTTAGTCAATAAAGTTTATAAAGTACCTGGAGATCCTTAAATGAAAGGCGCTATGTAAATGAAGACCTATTTATTATTTCATTTATGTATCATTTTATTCTGTCTTTCACAGAGAACTACATCTCTGGTATTTTTCACCAACAGGACATTGAAAAATACTTTTCAGAATTAAGGTGATAGATGTCCTACAAATTAGGGATGTTAAATATCAGTAAATTAAATAGTTAGTTAACCTCATGAATTCTTATCAGTTACTCAGCTGTTCTATAGTCCCGGGGGATGGAGCTGTCAGCAGTGCAATCTAGCCCCACTCCCAAAGAGCCCTCTGCCAATCCATGCTGCTGCCTCTGATACAGAGGCAGCAGCCGTGGGGTGGTAGGTAGGAGCTGATCCGCAAGGGGAGCCAGTTTAAAAACCAGCTCCCCTTGTGGACTGGCTGCCTGTCCCCCTGTACTGCTCTCTCTGCTACACAGGTAGCAGTGTGGGGTGGCAGCAGCCCCTGTCCGGGACAGGGACTGAGCTCCTGGACCCGGCGTGAGCCAGAAGTGACCCAGGCTGCCTGTCGGCCTGGCTCCTAATACACTTTAAATGCAGAGCTGCACCGTGGTAGGCCCCAAATCCAGCCCAAGCCAGGGCTGAGCCATGCTGCTGGCCATCCTGTTAAACAAATTATTGCCAAGTGTGGGGGGCAGGGGGATGCATGTAGTCTATAGCATTAACCTATAAACTTTTGCTTATCAGTTAATCAACCACACTATTATATCCCTACTACAAATGCAGCAGACATTGTTTCGTTTAGGTCACTTATTACTTCCTCTTTGCTTTTCCTCTTGTCAGGACTCTGCAAAATACAAGGCCTTTCAGTACAGTATCATCCATTGTAGTTGAGCTATCCCTGGACCCCCCCGATTATGCAGCATGACATTTTTAGCATAGTCCCCAAATCTGGATCAATGCTTGTTCAATCCCTGTGTTCTCTGTTGCATCTTAAACAAGAGTAGATTATGTTTGTGGGATAGAGGAATTCCCCCTATTTACTGGGTTTATTTAATAAGCTCTCTTAAGCTTTGTAGTTTTGTTTGAAATTTATTATTGATTTATCCTTTTAAGACAATTTTAATTATGTTCGAGGCATTTGTAAATAAACCCAAAATGTAGCTCATGTTGATTTATTGTAATTTTCATCCTTTATTCTGGAGCTAGTAATGGGTTAATTTACCCTAACTAGAACAAAATGTATACCTCCCTATCACGGCTGACCACCCTGCATCCAGCGAGAAAACAACTAAGAGGAGGACAGGTGGTAGATTTTGGCATCCCTTCTCTCCCTCCCTCTCTCTATCAAGGTTTTCATAAAGAGAGGGACTCTAATCTCCACCTTAGGAGCCCCATTAGTGGAGTCTGAGTGGAATTCAGGATCAGGTCTGAACTATGTAATTTGGAATTTGTTCACTGTGCTGTATGGGCCAATAACTCCTTTTCATAATGTTTAAGTAATTGGGTTTTTTTTAAATTAACCAGTATCCTTTTCCATAGGTGATGGCAATTGCCTCATGCATGCTGCATCCCAGTACATGTGGGGTGTTCAAGATGTTGACCTGGTTCTGAGGAAAACACTGTACAGCGCACTGAAGGAAGTGGATACACGCAACTTTAAGCTTCGTTGGCAACGGGAGACCATTAAATCGCAGGAGTTTGTAGAAACAGGACTCCATTATGACACCAGGGTAAATTAACTTGACTCATAGATTGGAGTAAGATAACTTGAGTGCAAAGACTTCATCATATTTGCTTGGTGAAGTTTACTTGGTTTGGATAGCTAGGGTGGGACTATGGAGTGAGAGACAATTATGGCAACAACTACGGCAATTTTTAAGTAAGTTAAAAAGAGTATTAGATAATGTGAATAAATGATTGGAAGAAAAGAAAAATTAATATCTTGGAGATGGGTTTTGACATGCTGTGCTGCAACCAGTTCTTGATCTGCATATCTGTAAGCTGGTGCTAACAATTACTAATTCTTTCCTCAGAACTGGGAAGAGGAATGGGAGAACATCATCAAAATGACATCCACAGAAACGCCAGTGGCCCGAAGTGGGCTTCAGTACAACGCACTGGAAGAAATCCATATATTTGTCCTTGTTAACGTCCTCAGAAGGCCGATCATAGTTCTTGCAGGTGAGTCTTCCATGCCAGTTGTCTTTGATGGCCTAATATTAAGGACAGTATCAGTGGGTGCACAATACATGTGTCTTTGTAAATGTTCTGTAGCCATGTTTTAAAATATCAGAACAAGCACATTGCACTTGTGTCACAAATGAAAATAATTTGATCTTACTAATATTCAGGTTTTTTTCCTTAAATAGATAAAATGCTGAGAAGCTTGGAGTCCGGTTCAAGTTTTTCTCCTCTGAACGTCAGTGGAATTTACTTGCCTCTCCATTGGCCAGCCGAAGAATGCTATAGATATCCTATTGTCCTGGGCTATGACAGCATGCATTTCACACCACTGCTCACTCTGAAGGACAGCGGGCCAGGTTTGTTATATTTAAATTATCTACGTGGGCTATATTTTCAGTATTTTTGTGTTTGCTCCCCCTTCCTTTTATTGATGGTAAAGATTAAAAAAAAAAATTCTGATGGAGAGTTACATTTAAAAAAATGGGTGCAACAAATGTAAATGAGATATTCCTATTTCAATGTTTCAGAGAGTCTTCAAATGCTATCAACCTGCTAGGGTGGTAGTCCTCAAACTGTGGGGCATAGTCCCATAGGTGAACATGGAGGAACATTTGGGGGGGGGTACAGAAGGGTAGGAAAGAAGCACTATCCAGCCCTGCACTACCCCCAGCTAAGACTCTGGTTTCAGCTTCAAACCCCAACCATAGACCAGCCATGGCCTCAGGCCCTGATGGAAAACCACCTCCTAGCCCAGACCCCACTACTAGCCAAATCTGCCCCACCTTCCAGCCTCGGCCCTCCCGCCAGCCACAGCTCCCAGGAGGAGAGGAGGGATAAGCATATTACAGCTTTATTACAATGCACTGACTTTAATCACATGACCTGCAGCAGAGGAAGTGCTTTTTAGTGCCCATCTACAGCATGTGTTTGGAGTTAGTGACATCTATGTTCATGCGAGAGTTTTTATTGTTATTGGGTTTTGTGAGGTTTTTTGGTATATTACTGTAGATGGGATAACACATTTCTAGACCCATACTGGGAAATTTTCCTGTAATAAGGTTCAAGAAAATAAACCTACTGTCCTATCCATGTTAAATTTAAAAGAAATGTGCTAGGTTGTTGAAACCATACATGGTTCTCAGCAGGCCCTCGTGAGTATCTTCATTCCATCTGCAGTGTTTGGGAACAGGGAGGTAATTGTGCTTGCTCTTTGCAGGCACTGTTGATGAATTTAAGAGTCGGCAGAAGGAGCGGATGATATTTTCCCATTTGGTAAAACTGACCTGTGTTGTTTCACACAGAAATCCGGGCTGTCCCACTGGTCAGCAGTGAACGAGGCAGGTTTGAAGACTTGAAAGTGCACTTTCTGACGGATGCTGAGGAGAGGGGAAAGGAACAGCTACTGAAAGAGTACCTGATGGTGATAGAGATTCCAGTGCAAGGCTGGGACCATGGTACAACTCATTTAATTAATGCTGCAAGGTGAGTGGTATTCTTCTCTTCTTATAGCTTTGTACTTGCTGCTGATAAAAATCTAATAGAATATTGTATCCAATCTTTCTGTTCTTTCTCAGCAACATGTTAATAATAATGTACCTTCGGTGGCATATGAGTCTAGCTTGAACCAGGCTCAAATTTAAATTCTGAAATTCTCAGCCTTCAGTGTCAGAAGGCAGTTAATAAATTAGTCCCTTTGTCTGCCCTTTGTAGCTAAAGGGGTGGGACTGAAAATAAGAAAAGCCAGAAATAATAGCTAAACTGCAGTCTTATTTAAATGGCTTTTGAGAAAATTGTGCTTGAAGCACAATTGCTGCATTGGGGAAAGTGTGCAACTATTGTGACTCAGTGCATGTGGCCTGTGGCAGTCTGTGCAGTGCAGTGCAACTGCAGTCAGAACACTGCTGGGATGTGGTGTAGAAGAGCAGGAGGTTGACTCCATGCCTACCCTTTTACGCTTGGTATATGCCTCTTTGAATATAGAGAGCTTTTGGATGTGCTAACCAATCCTTCCTTGCTCTGAGAGTACACTAACAGCAACATTCTGCCCAGTTCCTTAATAGATATATAAGAAAGAAACTCTCTGCAGCCTCCCTTTAACTCCATTCCCCTTGTTTAGGAAAGTTCTTTCTGCTCCTGAAAGGGGATGGATTGAAAGCTCTGAAAATTGAAATCCCCTATGCAGGTGCAGCAAAGGCAGTGGTAAGATAGCTTCCGCAGGTTTGCTGGCCTCATGTACCTCAAGCCTGTACTGAATGAAACACTTATCCACATTTGCTTCATCGTGGTCTCTAACATAATTGCTATGTGGCTTTTTTTTTTCTTGATGAGGTGGACTCTACACAAATAGGAACTTCTCTGAGCCACATCTGCTCATTTCTCATAAGCAGGGTTTCCAGTTTTAGATGTCGAAGCAGAAATAGGAATTAGGTGTTTATAAAATATACACCAACATCTTTAGAGATGGAAATTATTTGTAAAGCGGGCTGGTGGGCCCTACAAAATCCCCAGTTTACTCCTGGATTTGAGTGGCAGCTAAAAGTTTGGAGATTTTTAGCCATCAAATTACTCCATTACAAAAGTATCTGCAACTTGCTTAAAACTGAATCTTAAAGACAAATTGGCCAGCACTGTGGGAATATGACCAATTAGGATTGTATCAAACTGCTTATCTAGAGGTGAAAGGCTCCATTTAACTTAACTAGACACTTAACTTTAAAAATGCCATTCTTAAGCGGAAGTTTATCATCATGTATTTTTAATTCAGCAATATGTATATGTGATAATTATCTTTTTACCCCCTTACATTTACATTTCCTCCCAGCCTTGCTTATATTCAGTACTATAGCCACTCCTTTTAGATACCAATATACATGTTAATTTTGTTTTCTGATTTGGCCTTCAGGTTAGATGAAGGCAACTTACCGAAAGAGATAAATCTGGTGGAAGATTACTTTCAATTGGTACAGCATGAGTACAAGAAATGGCAAGAAAACAATGAGCCTATTGCAAGGGAGCTCTGTACCAGGAATAAACGGGAACTCTCCTTACCCCAGCTGTCTCTTGTAGAGATGAAATGTGAAACTCCCAATTGTCCCTTCTTCATGTCTGTGAACACCCAGCCCTACTGTCACGAGTGCTTTGAGCAGAGGCATCAGGGAAATAATACAAGGAGACCGAGCAACAAAACAGCACCTGAAAAGCCGAGATCAGCTGGAGCAGGCTCATCTAGAGTTGAATTTTGTGAACCTGGGGGAGGGCCATCTGAAGAGCCAATGACAGGGCCTCATTCTGCACCTCCAACAGCTCCAAGCCTTTTTCTGTATAGTGAAACCACGGCTATGAAATGCAGGACTCCAGACTGCCCTTTTACATTAAATGTGCAACACAATGGACTCTGTGAACGCTGCTACAATTCCAGACAGAGACATTTAAACAGTGTGACATGTAAAATCTGCCTTCAGGACACAAACAGGACCTTTAATGGCATCTGCAGCACTTGCCTCAAAAGGACTACTGAGCCGTCAATTGCCAGTCCTGGCTTCCTACCTACATTCCATCAGAGGTCTACCTCCGACCCTTCACAGTCGCCGAGCGTCCTTCAGCACTCCTGTCATACAGTGCCCAGTAATGAGCTGGAGGAGCTGCCTTCTGCAGTTATGCTTCAGGCTGCTCACAATCTGGAGGAAAGGAGTGGAAGTAGCCAGTGCAGAAAACCTGGCTGCAGGTATTTTGGGGTGCTAGGTGGGAGCTGATCCGCAAGGGGAGCCAGTTTAAAAACCAGCTCCCCTTGTGGACTGGCTGCCTGTCCCCCTGTACTGCTCTCTCTGCTACACAGGTAGCAGTGTGGGGTGGCAGCAGCCCCTGTCCGGGACAGGGACTGAGCTCCTGGACCCGGCGTGAGCCAGAAGTGACCCAGGCTGCCTGTCGGCCTGGCTCCTAATACACTTTAAATGCAGAGCTGCACCGTGGTAGGCCCCAAATCCAGCCCAAGCCAGGGCTGAGCCATGCTGCTGGCCATCCTGTTAAACAAATTATTGCCAAGTGTGGGGGGCAGGGGGATGCATGTAGTCTATAGCATTAACCTATAAACTTTTGCTTATCAGTTAATCAACCACACTATTATATCCCTACTACAAATGCAGCAGACATTGTTTCGTTTAGGTCACTTATTACTTCCTCTTTGCTTTTCCTCTTGTCAGGACTCTGCAAAATACAAGGCCTTTCAGTACAGTATCATCCATTGTAGTTGAGCTATCCCTGGACCCCCCCGATTATGCAGCATGACATTTTTAGCATAGTCCCCAAATCTGGATCAATGCTTGTTCAATCCCTGTGTTCTCTGTTGCATCTTAAACAAGAGTAGATTATGTTTGTGGGATAGAGGAATTCCCCCTATTTACTGGGTTTATTTAATAAGCTCTCTTAAGCTTTGTAGTTTTGTTTGAAATTTATTATTGATTTATCCTTTTAAGACAATTTTAATTATGTTCGAGGCATTTGTAAATAAACCCAAAATGTAGCTCATGTTGATTTATTGTAATTTTCATCCTTTATTCTGGAGCTAGTAATGGGTTAATTTACCCTAACTAGAACAAAATGTATACCTCCCTATCACGGCTGACCACCCTGCATCCAGCGAGAAAACAACTAAGAGGAGGACAGGTGGTAGATTTTGGCATCCCTTCTCTCCCTCCCTCTCTCTATCAAGGTTTTCATAAAGAGAGGGACTCTAATCTCCACCTTAGGAGCCCCATTAGTGGAGTCTGAGTGGAATTCAGGATCAGGTCTGAACTATGTAATTTGGAATTTGTTCACTGTGCTGTATGGGCCAATAACTCCTTTTCATAATGTTTAAGTAATTGGGTTTTTTTTAAATTAACCAGTATCCTTTTCCATAGGTGATGGCAATTGCCTCATGCATGCTGCATCCCAGTACATGTGGGGTGTTCAAGATGTTGACCTGGTTCTGAGGAAAACACTGTACAGCGCACTGAAGGAAGTGGATACACGCAACTTTAAGCTTCGTTGGCAACGGGAGACCATTAAATCGCAGGAGTTTGTAGAAACAGGACTCCATTATGACACCAGGGTAAATTAACTTGACTCATAGATTGGAGTAAGATAACTTGAGTGCAAAGACTTCATCATATTTGCTTGGTGAAGTTTACTTGGTTTGGATAGCTAGGGTGGGACTATGGAGTGAGAGACAATTATGGCAACAACTACGGCAATTTTTAAGTAAGTTAAAAAGAGTATTAGATAATGTGAATAAATGATTGGAAGAAAAGAAAAATTAATATCTTGGAGATGGGTTTTGACATGCTGTGCTGCAACCAGTTCTTGATCTGCATATCTGTAAGCTGGTGCTAACAATTACTAATTCTTTCCTCAGAACTGGGAAGAGGAATGGGAGAACATCATCAAAATGACATCCACAGAAACGCCAGTGGCCCGAAGTGGGCTTCAGTACAACGCACTGGAAGAAATCCATATATTTGTCCTTGTTAACGTCCTCAGAAGGCCGATCATAGTTCTTGCAGGTGAGTCTTCCATGCCAGTTGTCTTTGATGGCCTAATATTAAGGACAGTATCAGTGGGTGCACAATACATGTGTCTTTGTAAATGTTCTGTAGCCATGTTTTAAAATATCAGAACAAGCACATTGCACTTGTGTCACAAATGAAAATAATTTGATCTTACTAATATTCAGGTTTTTTTCCTTAAATAGATAAAATGCTGAGAAGCTTGGAGTCCGGTTCAAGTTTTTCTCCTCTGAACGTCAGTGGAATTTACTTGCCTCTCCATTGGCCAGCCGAAGAATGCTATAGATATCCTATTGTCCTGGGCTATGACAGCATGCATTTCACACCACTGCTCACTCTGAAGGACAGCGGGCCAGGTTTGTTATATTTAAATTATCTACGTGGGCTATATTTTCAGTATTTTTGTGTTTGCTCCCCCTTCCTTTTATTGATGGTAAAGATTAAAAAAAAAAATTCTGATGGAGAGTTACATTTAAAAAAATGGGTGCAACAAATGTAAATGAGATATTCCTATTTCAATGTTTCAGAGAGTCTTCAAATGCTATCAACCTGCTAGGGTGGTAGTCCTCAAACTGTGGGGCATAGTCCCATAGGTGAACATGGAGGAACATTTGGGGGGGGGTACAGAAGGGTAGGAAAGAAGCACTATCCAGCCCTGCACTACCCCCAGCTAAGACTCTGGTTTCAGCTTCAAACCCCAACCATAGACCAGCCATGGCCTCAGGCCCTGATGGAAAACCACCTCCTAGCCCAGACCCCACTACTAGCCAAATCTGCCCCACCTTCCAGCCTCGGCCCTCCCGCCAGCCACAGCTCCCAGGAGGAGAGGAGGGATAAGCATATTACAGCTTTATTACAATGCACTGACTTTAATCACATGACCTGCAGCAGAGGAAGTGCTTTTTAGTGCCCATCTACAGCATGTGTTTGGAGTTAGTGACATCTATGTTCATGCGAGAGTTTTTATTGTTATTGGGTTTTGTGAGGTTTTTTGGTATATTACTGTAGATGGGATAACACATTTCTAGACCCATACTGGGAAATTTTCCTGTAATAAGGTTCAAGAAAATAAACCTACTGTCCTATCCATGTTAAATTTAAAAGAAATGTGCTAGGTTGTTGAAACCATACATGGTTCTCAGCAGGCCCTCGTGAGTATCTTCATTCCATCTGCAGTGTTTGGGAACAGGGAGGTAATTGTGCTTGCTCTTTGCAGGCACTGTTGATGAATTTAAGAGTCGGCAGAAGGAGCGGATGATATTTTCCCATTTGGTAAAACTGACCTGTGTTGTTTCACACAGAAATCCGGGCTGTCCCACTGGTCAGCAGTGAACGAGGCAGGTTTGAAGACTTGAAAGTGCACTTTCTGACGGATGCTGAGGAGAGGGGAAAGGAACAGCTACTGAAAGAGTACCTGATGGTGATAGAGATTCCAGTGCAAGGCTGGGACCATGGTACAACTCATTTAATTAATGCTGCAAGGTGAGTGGTATTCTTCTCTTCTTATAGCTTTGTACTTGCTGCTGATAAAAATCTAATAGAATATTGTATCCAATCTTTCTGTTCTTTCTCAGCAACATGTTAATAATAATGTACCTTCGGTGGCATATGAGTCTAGCTTGAACCAGGCTCAAATTTAAATTCTGAAATTCTCAGCCTTCAGTGTCAGAAGGCAGTTAATAAATTAGTCCCTTTGTCTGCCCTTTGTAGCTAAAGGGGTGGGACTGAAAATAAGAAAAGCCAGAAATAATAGCTAAACTGCAGTCTTATTTAAATGGCTTTTGAGAAAATTGTGCTTGAAGCACAATTGCTGCATTGGGGAAAGTGTGCAACTATTGTGACTCAGTGCATGTGGCCTGTGGCAGTCTGTGCAGTGCAGTGCAACTGCAGTCAGAACACTGCTGGGATGTGGTGTAGAAGAGCAGGAGGTTGACTCCATGCCTACCCTTTTACGCTTGGTATATGCCTCTTTGAATATAGAGAGCTTTTGGATGTGCTAACCAATCCTTCCTTGCTCTGAGAGTACACTAACAGCAACATTCTGCCCAGTTCCTTAATAGATATATAAGAAAGAAACTCTCTGCAGCCTCCCTTTAACTCCATTCCCCTTGTTTAGGAAAGTTCTTTCTGCTCCTGAAAGGGGATGGATTGAAAGCTCTGAAAATTGAAATCCCCTATGCAGGTGCAGCAAAGGCAGTGGTAAGATAGCTTCCGCAGGTTTGCTGGCCTCATGTACCTCAAGCCTGTACTGAATGAAACACTTATCCACATTTGCTTCATCGTGGTCTCTAACATAATTGCTATGTGGCTTTTTTTTTTCTTGATGAGGTGGACTCTACACAAATAGGAACTTCTCTGAGCCACATCTGCTCATTTCTCATAAGCAGGGTTTCCAGTTTTAGATGTCGAAGCAGAAATAGGAATTAGGTGTTTATAAAATATACACCAACATCTTTAGAGATGGAAATTATTTGTAAAGCGGGCTGGTGGGCCCTACAAAATCCCCAGTTTACTCCTGGATTTGAGTGGCAGCTAAAAGTTTGGAGATTTTTAGCCATCAAATTACTCCATTACAAAAGTATCTGCAACTTGCTTAAAACTGAATCTTAAAGACAAATTGGCCAGCACTGTGGGAATATGACCAATTAGGATTGTATCAAACTGCTTATCTAGAGGTGAAAGGCTCCATTTAACTTAACTAGACACTTAACTTTAAAAATGCCATTCTTAAGCGGAAGTTTATCATCATGTATTTTTAATTCAGCAATATGTATATGTGATAATTATCTTTTTACCCCCTTACATTTACATTTCCTCCCAGCCTTGCTTATATTCAGTACTATAGCCACTCCTTTTAGATACCAATATACATGTTAATTTTGTTTTCTGATTTGGCCTTCAGGTTAGATGAAGGAAACTTACCGAAAGAGATAAATCTGGTGGAAGATTACTTTCAATTGGTACAGCATGAGTACAAGAAATGGCAAGAAAACAATGAGCCTATTGCAAGGGAGCTCTGTACCAGGAATAAACGGGAACTCTCCTTACCCCAGCTGTCTCTTGTAGAGATGAAATGTGAAACTCCCAATTGTCCCTTCTTCATGTCTGTGAACACCCAGCCCTACTGTCACGAGTGCTTTGAGCAGAGGCATCAGGGAAATAATACAAGGAGACCGAGCAACAAAACAGCACCTGAAAAGCCGAGATCAGCTGGAGCAGGCTCATCTAGAGTTGAATTTTGTGAACCTGGGGGAGGGCCATCTGAAGAGCCAATGACAGGGCCTCATTCTGCACCTCCAACAGCTCCAAGCCTTTTTCTGTATAGTGAAACCACGGCTATGAAATGCAGGACTCCAGACTGCCCTTTTACATTAAATGTGCAACACAATGGACTCTGTGAACGCTGCTACAATTCCAGACAGAGACATTTAAACAGTGTGACATGTAAAATCTGCCTTCAGGACACAAACAGGACCTTTAATGGCATCTGCAGCACTTGCCTCAAAAGGACTACTGAGCCGTCAATTGCCAGTCCTGGCTTCCTACCTACATTCCATCAGAGGTCTACCTCCGACCCTTCACAGTCGCCGAGCGTCCTTCAGCACTCCTGTCATACAGTGCCCAGTAATGAGCTGGAGGAGCTGCCTTCTGCAGTTATGCTTCAGGCTGCTCACAATCTGGAGGAAAGGAGTGGAAGTAGCCAGTGCAGAAAACCTGGCTGCAGGTATTTTGGGACTTCTCAGAATGAAGGCTTTTGCACTCTATGCTTCTTTGAGTACAGGGAAAATAATGGTAAGCAAAGCTAGTTTTAGTTCCCTAACACCTTAGCAATAGGTCATTGTATCTGAAGATCCAGGGCATTTTTTATTTGAATTTTGGGAGGAGGGGCAGTGTTGGAGAGAGGTGATGCTAATACAAAAATATCCTGGGTGAGCAAACAAATTGTGTAAGGCAGCAGCATTAATGTGATGAGAATTTATCCTTGACACCCTTATTCTTGTATAAATTGGTAACAGTGGGATTTTCAAAAGCACTCAGAGTTGGCCCAATCCTGCTCCCATTGAAGTCTATGGTAAAATTCCCACTGACTACAGTGGAAAGAAAGCTAAGTTTTTGAAAATCTCACCGATGAAACCACTTTTCAGTTGTATTTTGGTGTGAGTGTCCTGTCACTAAAGTGTCCTAATGTCACGTCAATAGGAGTTGTAGGAATCAGTCAAATATCTTTTCATTGTCTCTGCCTAAAGTCAGGTTTCATTGGTAATGCAACGGCCACATTCATCCCTGAGGTAACTATTAAAGTCACTATGCAAGTCAAGTTAATTCAAAGATTAACGGTTGATTTAGTAGTGGGCATGTTTAGGAAGCTGAAATTATTAAAATATACTTTTAGAAAAACCCACTTTTATTAGTGCTATGTTGTATGTGAAGTCAGGCCCACATACGGGCAATATTCTATAGCTAAGTAAAGGCCCCCTGAGGTGGAAGGAAGGGAAAGGAAGCAATTGTCCCAAGGCATGGCACACCCAGCTGCTGCCTCCACCACTACTGCAGCAGTGACAGCAGCTGGAACCCCAGGTCCTTTGGGTGCCACAATCCAGGTGGTGCTTAGGGCAGCCTAGCCCCAGCCCTGCCCCTTTTGCCTAAGGCCTCAGCCTTTTGGGAGAGCAGAGGCCGGCCTGCTGGCTAAATGAAAGAATACAGTCCTTACCCCTGTTGCTATTCTTCTCTGAAATGAGCAAGAAACTCTCAGGGTTAGTACCTGAAAGTTGGATGTAAGAGGGGAAATAACGCATCTGTCTTGCAAAACAGCTCATTGATGACCCTAATGGAAGTACTACAGTCTGAGACATTTCATATATCTCCAGGTTATAGCAGCTCCCTTATAGATCACGTGGTAGCAGTAATGTGTGTTAGTAGTTTATTTTCAGAGGTCATTCACAACATAATTTTTTCCTGTCTTTATCGTGGAATGTAGTATATACTGTCTTTATATATAGACTTCTTTAAAAAAGCCAGTGAAACCTAACCCACCCATTGCTGGTCGTCTGCACTACTATTTCTATTTAACTGAAATTGAGAGGGAATATTGGGATGAAATACTGGCCACACTGAAGTCAAAAGCAAAATTTCCCTCAGCTTCAGTGGGGTCTGGTTTTCACTTTTGGTCCTTTTAGCAATTGTGATATACCTTGAAAAAAACACTAGCAAGCAAACTTTGAAATGTTTCAACAATTTTTGATTTACAAATAAGATTAGTAGCCACTGTTATTTATGTATTTTAACACAAGGTAAATGTGTTCCGAGTACTTGGGGTGGCCTCATACCTACTTGCAGCTAAATGACTTGTTTTGGAGACTAAAGAATTCTGTTTTGCCTTTTCTGTTATCAAAAGTGTTTGAGTCCATTCTAATAATCTCTCTCTTGCCTTGTATGGTAGGAAGTGCCTCACAGATTCATCAGAGAAAGTCTCAAAGAAATTCTCCTGCTTCTAGTCAGCCTGGGACTTCTGTTGCCACATTCCATAACACTGTTTCTTGTCTGGGGCGAGAATGTGGCACCCTGGGCAGCAGTATGCTTGAAGGGTACTGTCAGAAGTGTTTTATTGAAGCACAGAATCAACGATTCCGTGAAGCCAGGACTGAACAGCAGCTAGCGAGACAATCTGAAGTAAGAGAACTCATGGGACTTTTCCCCCAGTGTTTAACCCCATATCCTTCATCCTAATGTGTCATAGTAAACAATTTCAACTGCGTAATAGAAAATCTCTGTGTTTACTGCACTTCCACTTTCATAAAAGGAAAATTTTAAGTAAGACACTACTTTGCTTTGCAGAATTGAGCACCAGGGAAGTATGGAAGCCCTTCCCATAGCACATCTACCGCAGATACTGTGGTGATGAACAACACAAAATATCTTTCTCCCATTAATGTGAAAAGCCTTGGAGTAATTACAGGAGAATAGCATAGTAGTTACAGAATTTTCTTTGAGATTTCATTGACAAATTAAAATTAAAAAAAGCAACACAGCCAAACCACTTCACAATTTCTAAAATATAGTACAGCACCTCAAGGTCACTGTATGTAGGAGTAAGCCTTAATTCCGTCTTGATTCCAAAGGGAGGATTTTCAACCATGTTCAAGCGTTGTATTAAGGACTGCTCTGATTTAAGTGTATAGGAGTTTTACCATTGACTTCACTAGGAATAGGTGGGCTAATGCTGAGCGCATTTAAAGATCTCCTTTACAGTTGCAAAACCACATCAGGTGAATTAGTCAGCTTTGGTAATGTGCAGCACCTTCTATATTTAGTTAATTTGGAGAGAAGGGGGACAGAAATGGAGCGTTCTCAGAGAGGAAACTTTTTGTAACAAATGAAAGCGTTTTAAGATGCTCTCTGACAAATCCTGGCCCATATCAAGCTTAGTGCTGTACTGTATTCGCAGAATAAGGAAGTCTCTTCCTAGAAACTGAAAAGACTAGTACTTTGGAAATCAGATTAATGGAAAGCTCATGAGAATCATGCTGCACACTTCTTGCTGCTGCTGTTTACAGAACAATCCTGAATTAGTTAATATCACAGCATAATAGTGTCCATAGCAGTGTCTTATGCTTATGCTACCCTTATGCTACCAGCATTGCAACTGACCAATTCTTTAACTTTTTACAGAGAACTGGGCAACACAGAGATGTACAGCTATCTACAGCTGGGAGCCAAAAGCGAAAGTGTGCCACAGCTTCTTGTAGAAACAATTTAGCCTGCAGAAATGATGAGCTGTGTCAGGAGTGCCAGTGCAGCAATCCAAGAGTACAGTCTGGGAATCCTAGAGTATCCGCAGCAGAAGAGCCTCCGAAACAGCACTGCCGAGCCACTGGCTGTGATCATTATGGGAATAATAAGTGCAATGGCTACTGCAATGAATGCTACCAGTTCAAGGAGATGTATGGCTAGCAGAGAAGTCCTGGCAAAGAGCAAGGAAGCAACATTTGCTTTTACCTCGCTGAAATGGTGCTACGTCCAAAACACTTAATAGGCCAGCCATGGCAAGGACCGTATTAACCCTGTGTGTTACATATACATAGGGCTTTGGGGGGAGAAATAAGCTGTCTGGTTTTGTACATATTTATGTCCATGGGTATGAATAAATATCCACTTAATATATACACTGCAAACATGGACCAATGAGAAGTCAGTTTGCTTTCTGCACAGAAGACTTGCAGAAATGACCTGCTATAATGCTGACTCCAAACTCCCTCTCCTCTCAGATTTCAAAATTCCTAGAGTGCCTATTGAGGCAGAGTGAAGCATTTGAAAACAGATAATTTTGTAACGTGGCCTCTGCGCTAATACCTCCCCTGCACCTTCTCAGAACTGATCATTCAGAGCACAAGGACACTCAGCCAATGTCTGAGATGCAGAGCTTCTTGAAATGACCTCCATCAGTGTTTTGCTCAGTGTGAGTCTGGCTCCTCTTGAGAGGACTCCTGGATGAAAGTCTGACACAAGTTGGGGTGAAATGGGGGTGAGAATTTATATAAGAAATTTGCTTTTGCTTTCTTGCATATTTGCCTTCATTTAAGAGCTCTGTTTCACATGTAGAGTGTTCTGATTGGTTCTGCATTTGCTGAGCCCTTGGGAGAAAAGTCAGAAGTGAAGGACAATCCACTGCCTGCCCTGTCATCACACTCAATAGGTTTAACCCTTATACCTTCCTTTCCAAAAAACAAAAATTATGGTGACGTAATGAGTAACCCCACAACCTTCAGCTACAAAATTGTTTATGTGAAGGTAGGAAGGAAATGCTGCCACAAGGTATGAGAAACACAGCCCTAGGTTTTGATGCTGATGCCAGATTGACCCTCTGTTGTCTTTGGTGTAGGAAGAAGCACAGTAGCAGTCAGAGCTGTGCAAACTGCATCAAGAGCCCAATCCTGCAAAATACCAAGCACTTCTTGTGCAGTAGTAAGAACCAAACCTTCTTGTTTTGGAAGATAAGGGCACAGCACATCTCAGGATTGGGCCCTGATAATCTCTGCAGTTGCTGCCATCCAGGATATCTGTTTGTTCAGCTGAAGGACTTTATTTTATTTTTGTAATAGTTTTCTACCGTGGCAGGGTATACTGGATGTAATATAGTCATTCGTGAGATCCAGCCCATATCCTGCAGCTGAGACACCAATTCTGCCACTTATTCTTTCTTATGTTAGAGGGTTACTTTTTAAAGGCTTCATTACATTTTGGGGTCGATTACAAAGTAAACTCCCTGGTACACAACAATGGCCACCTGTGTGGCTCCTGTAGCTGCTGTCCGTGTCTAATGATTGCAAATTTGCATCCCTCCTGGCTTTAGAATGAGGTTGGGACTTACATTTGCAGGAATGAGATGGCCTGGCTTTTGTTGCTGCTGTTTGAGGTACCTGATCAGTTTCTAGGGAGAAATCCTGACTCCATTGAAATTTTAAAAAAGCATTGCTATGGACTTCAATGGCACCATGATTTCACACCTAGAGCTCAGGCCTCCACTTCTCAAGCTACATTTCTTTCTCTAACAAACTTGCTGCCTTCCTGTGTCAAAATCTGCTCTTGTTTCCCTTTGCTTTTCATCCCACACCGTCCCCCAGTTTTTCAGCTTTTATTGCTGCTATTATTTTGGAGGAAAAGGCACGTATGACACTTGCTCCGACGTGCTTTTCAAATGAAATCTTCTGCTAGTGTGTCTATCCAAAACTACTTGGTTTTGAATTTGTGTATATATATATTTATATATATTTGTAGTTGAAATTTTAAAATAAATGTGAAACTTACAATATTTATATTATTCAAATGACATAACTTGAAATTTGCACAGTTAAGGGATTTTTTTTAGCATAATAATTTTACTTGTACTGAATTTCACAGGTTTTGACTAAGTCAATGTATAACTGCAAAAAAATTCTCCAATATAAAGAAATAAATTATTGAAGGATTAACTTTGATATTTTACATTCATGATTGATGGGAGAAGAATATAGGTACCCGGCACTGATCCAGGAAAGCATCTCTATTCAGGCCAACACTTCAGCATGTGCTTAAAGTTAAACATGCCCCACGGATTTGAGAATGTGCTTACCTGAACTGGGACTATGTAGCCCAGTCCTTTGAGGAGCAAAGTACTATTGCTGCTGAGCATACTTAGATGTTACTGAAGTCAGTGGCCTTGGAAAAAGAGCTCAGCACTTTTCAGGATACTACACATGAAGCAAACAACTTCCTTAGGGGTGTGGATCCTGAGTAGCTTCAGCTCTCATTGAAGTCAGTGTGAGCTCAGGACACGCAGCAGAACCTGAACCAACGATGAGTAATGAAAGCAAAGCTAAGAACAGTTGGCCATGTTGCTTGGAACTTCTAAACCTAGGAAGGAAGTTCTTTTGACTGAAAGCATTAAATCCCCTTGATATTTTCTCTGCAACTTTCTGGGGCCATTACTCATAACTCTAAAGTCACATGAAGTTTTATATCACTCTGATGTCTCTTATGTAAATGAGCACACACTCTGTCCATGTGATTTAGTTGTGCGGGAATGACAAAGCAAATATATTTTACACACCTTGGTATTTCCCTAATCTTCTTAGGGGGATTTTGATTTTCTGAAGGTTGATGACCTCTGTGTGAGCACCTAGTATTTCTCTTTGGATTTTTATGTGTCTTCTTTCCTGTATTGCAAGAGAAGAAAATAGGTGGGGTTTCTCCCTTTTTCACCATTTCTAGAGATCTCTGGTGTTAGATGACTAAATAAAAAAACTTAGTTTTGTCAGGTTTCTCTTCTTACCAAAAAAGTCATTTTTGTGAAACAACTGGCTTGCAAGTAGCCTATAGTAGTTTTATAAATCCCTTTAATATTTTGCAACACAAAAATCAATTTTTATTTTTGATAAGGCCCGTGTGTCCTCTTAACTACACAGTGATTCAAACATGAGTCAAGCTGGGAAAGTGAATGGTCAAAGCATGGTCACTGGGACGTTGGAGGTTAAATACTGTAGTCATGGCAATTCATTGTGATGCAATATTATACTTCTAGATAACCTGTGGTCCAGAAAAGAGGAAGGTCACTTGCCATACTATGGCCCAGGACATAAAAGAAATACCTGTTTTGACATTTCACTAGGCAAGGCAGCTTTCAGAGTGTTGCACATCTAGAGTAATGGACCATCTAGGCAAAGGGAGGAAACAGTACAATGAGACAGCATGAAACTGTAAACTACACATAACTCATGAAAGAATTAGATGTCACCTATCTACAGTTAATCTTTTACCACTTCTATTCCAGTCATGGCCACTGCCACATTATGGTAGTACCATGCAAATAACTGCAAGAGCAATAACCCTTGTTTTAAAGTCCTTACAGCATAAGGGTCAGATCATGGCTGACACTGTACACCCGCAAAAAAGAGTGTAAAACATCACAGTTTGACTTCTGGGCCAGACAGCCATGTAAGTAGGGATAAGCAGAGGTTTGTGTCAATCCACCCCTTGGTCACCTTCAGCCAGCGGTCAGGGAGTAGGCAGAGGATCAGTGCTATAGCTTCACCTTTTCAAATTATCTGCAAGGGGTTAGGCTCCATACCAGGTTATTTTTCCACTAGAGCAAGCAGGGATCAGGATATGCCCTGACACAGTTCTTTAAACAAAATGTCTTGTTTAGTTAGCTCTCTTGGTATAATCCCTGTACAATTCAGTGCAGAGACTGCAGTTAACTCATTAGCAGTCTCTGGAGTTAAGGGTTCTGAAAGCCACGAATACAATAAAATGGAAATAAGAGAGGCATGTTTGAATGAGTTAGTCTAATTGTATGTCTGACCTATTCCCAAATCCCTAAAAGCAATAGTAATTTACACCACAACATTTTTGCATACTGAAATAGCCATTGGTGCTTTATAGATCACAAAACAAAAGAAACATCCTTCTACATTATCAGAATGGAAACATTCTTTCAGAAAAAACACTTCTGTCCAAAACTTAATCCTCTCGCTGCAGGATACAAGTGACTCCCATTCAAGTCAAGTGTAATCAACCATCCCTACTTCTTGGTTATGGAGGCACCAGCACACCAACTCCCTAGTAGCAGAGAGTACTAATCGCAATTTGGGAATAAATGACAAATTTCCATTTTCTCAAATGGTGGCCTGGCCATAAAGTCATTATGACATGAGATTAGGCCTGGGGTGGACAGGGATGGGAGTCATCACACTCCAGTTCTCCGTCTGGCAGCTTGCAGGGTCCATGAAGTTCAACTGGGGTACAAGCCCAAAACTTACACTCTGGGCCCCGGTCTACAGTACACCCGGCTAGTCGGCTTAAAGAACACACATCCAGCTACACATTTTGTGTAGCTGGTCTCAGCTTACCTTGAACCAAGCTCTGGTGGTGTCCATGCAGCGGGAGGCCAACAGGAGCACAGACTCCCATTGGCTTCCCTTAATCCTCACAGAAGGAGTAGTACTGGATACCAGAGGGGGCTGCCCTCAGCATTCAATTTACTGGTCTATACTAGTCCTGCTAAATTAAATGCTAGATGATTGACCTCTGGAAGGTCGATTGCCTGCTAAATATAGACATGCCCTAGGAGAGCTCCGGGGCTCCTGACTGGGCTACAGCCTCAAGAGACAGAAACTGGAAGTTCTCTGTACAACAGGGGTGCATCCTGCCATGCATTGCTGGTCTGGTGTTTACCTGATCTTGTCTTTCTGGTATCTGCATTTGGGCTAGGTAACTGCCTCCTGGTTCCTGCCTTCCCAGTCTATCATCTGATCCGATTTAATGGGAGTAAATCGGGGGGCCCAGATAATCTTCATCCAAGAATATTAAAGGAACTGGCACATGAACTTGCAAGTCCATTAGCAAAATTTTTTAATAAATCTCTAAACTCAGGGGTTGTACCATTTGACTGGAGAATTGCTAATATAGTTCCGATTTTTAAGAAAGGGAAAAAAAGCGACCCGGGTAACTATAGGCCTGTTAGTTTGACATCTGTAGTATGTAAGATCCTGGAAAAAATTTTGAAGGAGAAAGTAGTTAGAGACATTGAGGCTAATGGCAATTGGGACAAATTACAACATGGTTTTACAAAAGGTAGATCGTGCCAAACCAACCTGATCTCCTTTTTTGAGAAAGTAACAGATTTTTTAGATAAAGAAAATGCAGTGGATCTAATCTATCTCGATTTCAGTAAGGCCTTTGATACAGTACCACATGGGGAACTATTGGTTAAATTGGAAAGAATGGGGATCAATATGAAAATTGAGAGGTGGATAAGGAACTGGTTAAAGGGGAGACTACAGCGAGTCATACTGAAAGGTGAACTGTCAGGCTGGAGAGAGGTTACTAGTGGAGTTCCTCAGGGATCAGTTTTGGGACCATTGTTATTTAATCTTTTTATTACTGACCTTGGCACTAAAAGTGGGAGTGTGCTAATAAAGTTTGCGGATGACACAAAGTTGGGAGGTATTGCCAATTCAGAAAAGGATCAGGATATCATACAGGAAGATCTGGATGATCTTGTAAATTGGAGTGATAGCAATAGGATGAAATTTAATAGTGAGAAGAGTAAGGTTATGCAATTAGGGATTAATAACAAGAATTTTAGTTATAAGCTGGGGACACATCAGTTGGAAGTAACGGAGGAGGAGAAGGACCTCGGAGTCCTGGTTGATTATAGAATGACTAGGAGCCGCCATTGTGACATGGCCGTGAAAAAGGCTAATACGATCTTGAGATGTATTAGGCGAGGTATTTCCAGTAGGGATAAGGAGGTCTTAGTGCCATTATACAAGGCATTGGTGAGACCCCCATTTGGAATACTGTGTGCAGTTCTGGTCTCCCATGTTTAAGAAGGATGAATTCAAACTGGAACAGGAACAAAGAAGGGCCACTAGGATGATCCGAGGAATGGAAAACCTGTCTTATGAAAGGAGACTCAAGGAGCTTGGCTTGTTTACCTTAACCAAAAGAAGGCTGAGCGGGGACATGGTTGCACTCTTTAAATATATTAGAGGGATAAATACCAGGGAGGGAGAGGAATTATTTAAGCTTAATACCAATGTGGACACAAGAACAAATGGATATAAGCTGGCTAGTAGGAAGTTTAGACTTGAGATTAGACGAAGGTTTCTAACCATTAGAGGAGCGAGGTTC